ACCGATCTGGGATCCTGGACAGGTTACCTCATTCCTTATGCCTCAGTTTCGTCATCTGTTAAAAGGTCTTAAAAGATTGATGTGAGGACTGAATGATACTGTGTACTGAAAGTACATGTTAACTATTATACCATTTATATTTACTTTTTATGTATACAAAACTTTATATTTTAAAATCTGTCTTTGAAAATTCCAGAGTCCTTTTTATCTTGCACCCAGAGATAAAAATTTGCTTCAATAACTACAAGAAGAGACTGACTTATCCTTGGGCTCTCAGTGACCTGAGACTATTCCAGTAAGAAAAAGGAATTCCTGCCATCCCCTTTCAGCTCAAACCACAGATTAGGCTTTTAGAAATCCATAAAATATTTAGGACAGGTTTGCTACAGCAGACTTGCCATAACTGGCCAACATTTTTATGAGTGGATCAATGTAATTATTTATAACATCAAAGGGCAGGGCTTTATGAGGCTACTTGAACGGAAGGAAGGGGGAAGTGTGGAGATTTAATGGTGAGTCTGAATGTTAGAAATTTGAGGAAAAAGTACTCTTTTTTTTTTTTTCTAGTGTTCTTTTTTAATTTTTTTTATTTTTCCTAGTGTGGGAACCGCTGTCCCCTGTTTCCTCTCCTCCTCTCACCTGGTTGCAACACATTCCTGTAATTCCAGAAACAGCAAACAATTTATCAGTACTCTTACCCCAAGCAAAGTACCAGAGATAGACCCTGCATCTAGATAATGCTAAGCAGGCTTTTCACGTTTTTCTCTTCCTGATATCAGCTTTTCCCATGAAACTCTGAAAAATATCGCAAGCACTCCCAGCAGAATCACCAACTCCCAAACCACAGAAACAGTCCAGAATTGGGAGGAGGCAAGAAGGAGCTGCGGGAAGGAATTGAGAGCTCCTGTAATAAAGAGCCGCTAGACCGAGCGCAGGGCTCATGCCTGAAACCCTAGCACTTTGGGAGGCCGAGGTGGGCCAATTGCTTGAGCTCAGGAGTTTGAGACCAGCCTGGGCAATGTGGCAAAACCTCATCTCTACCAAAAAAAAAAAGAAAGAAAAAAGAATTAAAAAAAAAGAGAGAGAAATAAAAAAATAAAACAGAAAAAAAAAAAACCTCATCTCTACAAAAAATATAAAAATTAGCCGGGTGTGGTGGTACATGGCTGTGGTCCCAGCTACTCGGGGACTGAGGCAAGAGAATTGCTTGAGCCCAGGAGGCTGAGGCTGCAGTGAGCCGTAATTACACCACTGCACTCCAGCCTGGGTGACGGCGAAACTCTGCCTCAAACAAATATATAGACATAAAATGAGGAGCTGTAACAATGAACTGTGTCCCCCAATATTTCATGCATTAAAGTCCTAACCCCCAGCCCCTAAGAATGTGGCTATCTGGAGATGGGATCTTTGAGGAGGTAATTTTTTTTTTTTTTTCCAAGAAATCAGGGCCTGCCAGGCATGGTAGCTCATGCCCTTAATACCAGCACTTTGGGAGACCAAGGAAAGGAAGATCACTTGAAATCAGGAGTTCGAGACCAGCCTGGCCAACATGGTGAAACCCTGTCTCTACTAAAAATACAAAAATTAGCTGGGCATTGTAGCACACTCCTGTAATTCTAGGCACTAGGGAGGCTGAGGCAGAAGAATTGCTTGAACCCAGGAGGCAGAGGTTCAGTGAGCAGAGATCTTGCCACTGCACTCCAGCCTGGTGACGCAAGTGAGACTCAATCTCAAAAAAAAAAAAAAATTTAAAAAAAAGAAAAGAAATAAGGGCTGGGCGCTGTGGCTCATGCGTGTAATCCCGGCACTTTGGAAGGCCGAGGCGGGCAGATCACAAGGTCAGGAGTTCGAGTCCAGCCTGGCCAACATGGCAAAACCCTGTCTCTACGAAAAATACAAAAATTAACGGGGGCCATGGTGGTGCATGCCTGTAATCCCAGCTACTCGGGAGACTGAAGCAGGAGAATCTCTTGAACTGGGAGGCAGAGGTTGCAGTGAGCCCAGATCACACCACTGTACTCCAGCCTGGGCCACAGAGCGAAACTCTGTCTCAAAAATAAAAAAAAAGAAAGAAAAAAGAAATCAGGTCTTTTTGTAGAGACAAGGCCAATTGCTTATTGCCTAAGCTGGTCTTGAACTCCTAGGGTCAAGAAGTCCTCCCCTCTCAGCCTCCCAAAGTGCTAGGATTACAAGCATGGGCTAATGCCCAACCATAAGTCAAAATGAGGCCATACAGGTAGGCTTGAATTCAGTGTGACTGATGTCTGGAAAATAAGAGGTTTGGAGACAGAGACACACAGAGGAGAGACCATGTGAGAACACAGTGAGAAGGCACCCGTCTGCCAGCCAGAGAGAGGCCTCGGAAGAAATGAAACCTTCTGACACTTTGATTTTGGACTTGCCAGCCTCCAGAACTGTACGAAAACAAATGGCATAGTTTAAACTGCCCAGTCTGTGATACTCGTTATAGTGGCCCAAGCAAGGTAATATACCTGGTGTATTTCATTTCACCCTTAAAACTACACCGATTATTTTTTTCTATCCTGCAGAAGAAATCAAGGCTCAGAGAAGTCATTTAATTTGACTCAGCTCTCACAGTGAGTGCTGAAGCCAGGCTTTGCGAGCAGGTTTCTATGGTCACAAAACTCACATTTTTTTTTTTTTTTTTTTTTTGAGACTGAGTCTCGCTCTATTGCCCAGACTAGAGTACAGTGGCTCGATCTCAGCTCACTGCAACCTCCACCTCCTGGGTTTAAGTGATTCTTATATCTCAGCCTCTCCAGTAGCTGAGATTACAGGTGCCTGCCACCACACCTGGCTAATTTTTGTATTTTTAGTAGATACAGGGTTTTACCATGTTGGTCAGGCTGGTCTTGAACTCCTCGCCTCAGGTGATCTGCCCACCATGGCCTCCCAAAGTGTTGGGATTATAGGTGTGAGTCACTGCACCCAGCCAAAATGTGCATTCTTTTTACCATATCAAGTTGCCTAGTCAAATGAACATTTCACTAAAGATGTTTTAGAACCTAACTAGAAATAGTTACTAACTAGAGCAGTCATTGGAGGACCTTCCAGTAGGAGAGATGTCTTGCTAAATCTGCGGGGAGGCCGGATGCACTGATTTAATGCCTGGTCTGGCTTCAATCTCAGCCACAGCAAAGTCACATGGGCCTGATGACCACTGTCATGAGGAGAAAACTCCATCAAGTCCTCAATACATTTTTTTTTTTTTAAACAGAATCTCAGTCTGGCCCAGGCTGGACTGCAGTGGCACAATCACAGTTCCCTGCAGCCTCAGTCTCCTGGGCTCAAGTAATCCTCCCACCTCAGCGTCCCCAGGAGCTGGGACCACAGGCAAATGTCACCACCCAGCTAATTTTTTTTTTTCTTGGAGATGGAGCTTTGCTTTTGTCACCCAGGCTGCAGTGCAGTGGCATGATCTCGGCTCACTGCACCCTCTGCCTCCTGTGTTCAAGTGATTCTCCTGCCTCAGCCTCCTGAGTAGCTGGGATTACAGGCACATGCCACCATGCCCTGCTATATTTTGTATTTTTACAAATATATAAATGGTGAGACTGGGTTTCACCATGTTGCCCAGGCTGAATTCTCCAGCCTTAGCCTCCCAAAGTGCTTGGATTACAGGTATGAGCCACTGGGCCAAGCCTGTTATGTTTAATCTTTACCTCTGTTTTGTGAAGAATATACTATCCCCTTGCTGCCGAAAATAAAACTGGGCCTGGCTGAGTGCAGTGGCTCATACCTGTAATCCCAGAACTTTGGGAGGCCAAGGTGAGCAGATCATCTGAGATCAGGAATTCGAGATCAGCCTGACCAACATGGAGAAACCCCATCTCTACTAAAAATATAAAATTAGTCAGGCATGGTGGCACGCACCTGTAATCTCAGCTATTTGGGAGGCTGATGCAGGAGAATCGCTTGAACCTGAGAGGTGGAGGTTGTGGTAAGCCATTGCACTCTAGCCTGGGCAACAAGAAAAAAAACTCTGTCATAAAAAAAAAAAAAAAAAAGGCTGGGCCTGGTAAAAGCTGTGTGACTCACCCAGGTAGGCACCAATGGGCCAGCAGAGCCTGGCTTCAAGCTCACCTGTGCTGGCCCCAGAGCTTGTTCCCCCTCCTCCACCCCGCCCTGCCTCACAGTGAGAGAAACCAAAGGACACTGAGGCATGCCGGTGTAGCTCATTCGGGCTGCCCCTAAAGACCCCAAGACGACCCTCAGAGGTCCCTGAAGCCCCTTCAGAGGGGAAACCACTACAGGAGTCAAGGGAGCTCCAGGGATGTCATCCACGAAATTAAAACAAGTACCCGGCCAGGAATGGACCAAAGATGGTTCACAGAGAGCACATTCCTCCCCGCCCATCCCAGAGGCTCCTAACACCCTGCTCAGCCCCACGCCCTTGACTCACCCTCCAGCAGGTGGCCAGGGACTGTGGGAGTGGAGGCATCAACACTGACCTTGGCATTTGTTATCTCTGGCCCAGGTAGCCCCAGCATGAGGATGACCCTCATCATGTGGGTTTCTCTGTCATGTTCTTGAACATCTGGGTGTGTCTCAAGGACAGGCAGTGTGGGGCGGGGGACTGCAGGAGTTCCAGTTTGAGTGAGACACAAGCCCATGTTATCTCTCTGGGCCTAATCCTCCTCAACTCCATTAAGGGTGCACTTGATCCTCTCTGAAGACCCTCAAAGCAAAATGATTTTGCATTCCATTCCCTGGATTTGAGCCCCAGCCAAGAGTGGCTCTACCATGCTTCCAGATGAGAACCAGAGTCAGACTTTATCACTCACTCATTTACCCATCCAGCTGATGTCTACTAAGTGCCGCTGTGTGCCTAATGTGGGAACAGCTACAGAAATTCCTTGGAGAAGTAGAAGACAGCACTTGATAACCGGGTTTTTCAGACTGCTGAAGGTCTGCAGCTGGGAGACAAACACACTGTGGCTGGTGGGCTGAATGACTGACATCTCTCTTCTCCCACCTAGGTCCAAGTTCTGTTCCAGTTGGGCTCCACATGCACTTCGCACTGCCTGGAACCGTGTCTGGCACACAGCAGACAAAATAATGCACAAACACTGCAAGCCTAGAGAAGAACATTGTTTTCACATTCATACAGACATGGCTAGCTCATGGAGGGTAAGTGCAATTTCACATGAATTTTTAAGATGAACCTTCAGGGCAAATTGCCTCAGTGGGTATGTTTGTAGAACATGGTCACTCTTCTGGGAGAGCTTATGGGACACCAGCACCAGACCAAACCAGTAAAGAAAAAGTGGCTCCACTCCATCCCCATTATCTCACTGCTGGGCACCCCTCTGGCCAGCCCATCTGCTTCCTATGGGGATGTTGGGAAGTGTGGAGGCCAGAACCAGATTGGGCGTCCAGGCACACACGACCCCACCAGCAGTCCTGCCCTGACCCTCTCGGTTGAGCTGGGAAAGGTTGGAATTTCCTGAAGGTTTTCTTTTTTTTTTTTTTTTTTGGGACGGAGTTTCGCTCTTGTTACCCAGGCTGGAGTGCAATGGCGCGATCTCGGCTCACCACAACCTCCACCTCCTGGATTCAGGCAATTCTCCTGCCTCAACCTCCTGAGTAGCTGGGATTACAGGCACGTGCCACCATGCCCAGCTAATTTTTTGTATTTTTAGTAGAGATGGGGTTTCGCCGTATTGACCAGGATGGTCTCGATCTCTTGACCTCATGATCCACCCGCCTCGGCCTCCCAAAGTGCTGGGATTACAGGCTTGAGCCACCGCGCCGGGCCCTGAAGAAGGTTTTCTAGAGAAGTGAAATTAAGAAGAGAGAGAACAGCTGGCCCCAGAACCCTAACCAGTACAGGAACTATCTTTAGCCTGGAGAGACCTGGTTGGGGCAGATGACATCTCGTGAGACAAAAGTCAGCTCTGAGCTTGCAGAGCATGAGGGAGGCTGTTGGGGGGACAGGGAAGAAATGTGTTGTTTTTGCCACTGAAAGGAATGGAGAGAAATCTGGGGATGATGGGGAGAGGGAACCAAAGAGATGGGAAGGTCAGGATGAAATGAAATCTAGCCTGGAAGGGTCACCAAAGAACGTTTCCTGAAAGGCGATGTCTGTGTTCTGGATGCATTTCTACAAAGAAATCCCTCCTCTGTCTCTTGGTCACTCCCTCCTCATCACCTACCCCTAAACCTCCAAAAAAGTCTGAACTCACCGTGATTCCAGTGTACATAGAAATCAAGCAAGAGGCTGAATTTTACAGCTGGATCAAGCATGCCCAAGAGACAGACAAGCAGAAAGAATCCTCAGAGAGAAGACATCAAAGCGTGTTTGAAAGACAACCACAACCTCCTCCACCAGCACTTCCTTCTTTGCCTGGAGGCTTGCAGACATCTTAGGGACAGCTTTAAGCCACCAGGCACCATGAAAACAAAAGGGTTTTGTCTATTTTAACCTAGATCTAAAAGAAGGAAAGGCCACAGATGGAAACCCAAAGCCCAAGCATGAAAAGAGAAAAGGATAAAAGGGATAAACGAATAGAGCACAGTTATTTTTGTATTAATTAACTTAGGGCTGTCTTAGACACACAGACCCTGCTTCCTTTCCTGTCCCGGTCTTGAGCTAATGTGCTGATTCATCACAAAGGCTTGGGCAAAGCTCGGTCTCCACCCTTGGCTCCAGACCTGCATCTGGCCCAGTGCCATAGCCACTCTGACGGCAGGCCCAGCCAAGCTCCCACCCCACCTCCCTATGCCAGCTCCCCTCTGTTGGCAGCAGTCTCCATTCTCTGACAGGCTCATGACCCTGCAACCCCAACCCCAGCTGACCTTCCAGGAAGCTCCAGTTCCAGTTCTTCTTTTTTTTTTTTTTTTTTTTTGGAAACAGAGTCTTGCTCTGTCACCAGACTGGAGTGCAGTGGCGCAATCTTGGCTCACTGCAATCTCTGCCTCCTGGGTTCAAGCGTTTCTCCTGCCTCAGCCTCCCAGGTAGCTGGGAATACATGCACCTGCCCCCATGCCCAGTTAATTTTTTTTCTTGTATTTTTAGTAAAGATGGGGTTTCATCATGGTGGCCAGGCTGGTCTCGAACTCCTGACCTCAGGTGATCTGCCTGCTTCAGCCTCCTGTGGAATTACAAGAGTGAGCCATGGCACCCAGCCCGGTTCCAGTTCTGAAGGATGCTTCCGGTGGAAAGCAGTCAACCTGAACTCTTGTTAAGTCAGCTCACCTGAGGTTGAAGATGTACCCTGCCCCCATGGAATGTTCAAGCCCTTCCCAGCTCTTGTTGCAATATTTCACCAGCTTCCCACATGCTCCCTGGTGACTGATTTTGCCACTTCCCTCCAGACACACAAACAAGATGGCTAACGAAAGAAAAATGCCTTCTGTGTCCAGTCACAGACACATCTGCCAATTAGGTCCTCTTGCCTACACAAAGCCTTAAATAAACTAACAAGGGTCATTTGCTCGGGCAGGTAAACATCCGGGAAAACAAATTATTTCATGCCTCATCATGGATTTCTAAACTCCAAAGACATCCTCAAGCCCAAGCAAAATTCACAAATAATAAAAACACTTCTTTAAAGACGAGTACATTTTTGAAAATGATTTCATGGCCATCTACAGCGAGGTTAATGCAATCCACAAAGCACTTAGACCTTCTCTATGGATGATCTCACTGGTATCTAAGCAAGTCAGAGTAGGTCAGCCATGGTGGCTCACACCTGTAATCCCAGCACTTTGGGAGGCTGAGGCAGGAGGATTGCTTGAGCCCAGGAGTTTGAGACCAGCCAGGACAACATGGCAAAACCCCATCTCTACAAAAAGTACAAAAATTAGCCAGGTGGCCAGGCGTGATGGCTCACGCCTGTAATCCCAACATTTTGAGAGGCTCAGGCTGGTGGACCACATGAGGTCAAGAGTTCAAGACCAGCCTGGGCAACATGGCAAAACCACATCTCTACCAAAAATACAAAAAATTAGCCAAGTGTGGTGATGCGCATCTGTAATCCTATGTACTCGAAAGGCTGAGCCAGGAGAATGGCTTGAACCCAGGAGGCGGAGGTTGCAGTGAGCCAAGATTGCACCATTGCACTCCAGCCTGGGCAACAGAGCCAAACTCCATCTCAAAAAAAAAAAAAAAAAAAAAAAAAATTAGCTAGTTGTGTTGGCGCACACCTGTGGTCCTAGCTACTTGGGAGGCTGAGGTGAGAGGATTGCTTGAGCCCAGGCGACTGAGGCTACAGTAAGCCATGATCATACCACTGTACTCCAGCCTGGGTAACCCAGCGACTGGTTGTGCCACTGCTCCAGCCTGGGTGACAGAGTGACACTTGGTCTCGAAAAAATAAATAGAGCAACAGTGATGCGCAAAATGGGAGTGGCTTACTGTCTACCTTTACTACACCAGTAAAAGGAGTCTCATTCAGAAACCGTGCTAGCCTGTGGTACTGAAATGTCTCTTCCATTTTTCTTTTTTTTCCTGAGATGGAGTTTTTCGCTTTCCGCTCAGGCTGAAGTAGCAGGATCTCGGCTCACTGAAACCTCCGCCCCCTGGGGGCTTAAGCGATTCCCCTGCCTCAGCCTCCCGAGTAGCTGGGATTACAGGTGCCTGCCACTATGCCTGGCTAATTTTTTTGTATTTTTAGCAGAGCCGGGATTTCATCATGTTGGCCAGGGTGGTCTCGAACTCCTGACCTCAGGGGATCCACCTGCCTCGTCCTCCCAAAGTGCGGGGATTACAGGCGTGAGCCCCGCCCAGCCAGTCTCTTCCATTTGGACCATGGACAGGACCAAAAATGATTGAGAAACCCTGACTGGGGTACTTCCCAATTGTTTTCTCTTCTTGGCCATAGAACCTGACTGATAAATTCGCCAGATGGACATTCAGTATCCACCGTTGACATCACAGAATAATTTTTCACAAAGAGTGAAGTCAAATTTAGTACCTAGGACCAAAACATTCCATGAGACCCCACAGTATAGGATCTGAAGTAGTTGCCTCAATTTCCTATGACTCAGATTTCTTCGCAGGCTTCCCAGCAGCTTTGGGGTAGGTCCAGGGGACCACCCTGTGCTCCAGGTGGTAACCGTGCTCTCAGCAAAGAGATGGGAAAAGTGCTGGGCTGAGTCAGGGGGCTGAGTCAGGAGGCTGAGCTGTGTAAGTGCCATGTGACCCTGGCACATTTCCCAGCCTCTTTCGGTTTTCTCATCTGTAAAATGCCTACCCCACAGCTTGCTGAGAAGCTAAAAGTAGAAACGGCTATGCAGATGAGAATGCAATGTAAACTGCAGGGAGTGAAGGAGCACAGGTTTGCGGGGCCGGGTGGTAGCTAATGTTAACTGAGCTTGCGCTCACTGAGTAGCAGTGTACTAACTCCTGCATCTCACAGCAGCCCTGTGAGACCAGCCCATCATCACAACCCTTCTGCAGATGAGGAAGGACCCAGGGAGTTCAATGAACTTATCCAAGGAACCAGCGGGGACGTGGTAGAACCAGGATCATAAACCTCTAGCCCAGGGAAGCTGGAGCGCCCCAAATCCTTATTTTTTTTTAACTTGGAATGCAGCTTAACCACATTTCCCAACACAAAGATTTTTAAATGAATATAGGAAGGATCACTTCCTATTCCACTTACCTTCAAGGAAATTTACTTTGATTACGAATACATATACCACCAAATCTAGAAGGCTTATAGCAAAGTTTCCCTTGAACTTCCAGTTTGCAGTACAGTGCCTGTCACAGGACAGGTTCTCAGCTAGCATTTGTGGAGGAATGACTGGCCTTGCCCCTCACTGTTTTGTGCTCACCACCTTGTTGACATTAAAATGTTCTCAAGGTCAGGTGTGGTGGCTCATGCCTGTAATCACAGCACTTTGGGAGAGCAGAGACAGGAGGATTGCTTGAAGTTAGGAATGGAGACTTATTTCTGAAAATACTGAAAACAATCACAGTCAACTAAGAAATCCAGTTCGTTTCAACACCATGAATAACTGGCCACTATGGGGTATTAAAGGATAATTTTTAAAAATTAAAAAAGAGGGGCTGGGCATGGTAGCTCATGCCTGTAATCCCAGCACTTTGGGAGGCTGAGGTGGGCAGATCACGAAGTCAAGAGATTGAGACCATCCTGGCCAACAAGGTGAAACCTGGTCTCTCCTAAAAATACAAAAATTAGCTGAGTGTGGTAGCAGGCATCTGTAATCCCAGCTACTTGGGAGGCTGAGGCAGGAGAATCGCTTAAACTCAGAAAGTGGAGGTTGCAGTGAGTTGAGATCATGCCACTGCGCTTCAGCCTGGCGACAGAGCAGGCTGTTTCAAAAAAAAAAATTAAAAAGTAAAATCAGGCTGGGCGAGGTGGCTCACACCTATAATCCTAGTACTTTTGGAAGCCGAGACAGCAGGATCATTTGAGCTCAAGAGCTTGAGACCAGCCTGGGCAACATGGCAAAACCCCATCTCTACAAAAAAGACAAAATTTAGCTGGGTGTGGTGGTGTGCCATATACTTATAAGACCAGAACTTTATTCCAATGTGTTACAAATTTTTTTAAGATACAACAAAGTTGAAAGAATTTTATGGTCAATATTACAGTGAATACTGGTGTGCCCACTGCCTAGATTCTCCCGTGAACGCTCTAGAGCATTTGCTGTAACTGAAGATCTACTTGTCTACCTGCACCTCCACCCATCCGTCTATCCATTACCGTAACGCGTCTCAAAGTAAATTGCAGCTATCTATAACTGCTCTTTCAGCATTCATACCGTGTATCAGAGTGCCGTATTTCCTCTTCCAATATTTGGGGGTTTCTTTTTCTTTTTTTTTTTTATAAAGATGGGGTTTCACCATGTTGGCCAGGATGGTCTTGATCTCTTGAGTTCATGATCCACCCACCTCGGCCTCCCAAAATGCTGGGATTACAGGCGTGAGCCACCACGCCCGGCCAGGTGTTTCTTTTTCTTTTTTTGAGATAGGGTTTCGCTGTATCACCCAGGCTGGAGTGCAGTGGCAGGACCAGGGCTCACTGCAGCCTCCACCTCCCAGGCTCAGATGATCCTCCCACCTCAGCCCCACCCACCACACCACACCCC